ATTTTATTACTGACCAATAAGCGTACAGTATAGTATCGGGTATTCGATTCGGACCCCTATGTGGATCCGAATTCGACGGATCTTATAAATCACAGATCCGGATCCGATCCGATAGGTCGGATCTGATTCGGATTCGGATCTTCGGATCGGATCTGCGGAAAACTATCATGCGCATGGAATTTTGGCCCGCATTATGATAGCTTGCTGCTAATGCGGACCAGAATTATGAGATTCCGAAATGTTCCGAAATTAAAAAATGGTGTGGAAATAAACCACGTTACTATTAATCCAAAATACGTATCTATCGGGGATTTTTAGAGACAAACGCCCTAATAGATACTGAAACTAACAAGGTTGAGAATTATTCTTTATTCATATAGAAGAAACATTTCTCTGTATATATCTTTTCGATACATATAACAGAATTTCAGGAATTCTAATTGTTCTATTCTACAAATTCTCGTTATTTCCTGTCATTCCCCTAATTCCAAGAATTACTAGAAACGGAATCCCAGGAATTTGTACCACCCATTTTGCAGTTTTATAATATGGTAGATCTTGCCTACACTAAATGTTCTCAGCGCTTCGCTCCGGACAAGCATTATGAGTTTTATTACATTACATACTATACTATACTTATGGGCAAGAAATCGAAGATATTTGGTTCACTAATTCTTTAAATATGTAAGACAATTTTCTTTTAAATACAATTATTAAAAAGAAAATCAAGGAGTCAAGACATAAAGTATTTAAAATCAGTTTATAAGGATCTTGATTAGGAATATGTTGGAGATTGTAATGAATGATGGTCATGGCGTTATTTAAAATTAATTATACTCATTCGAATAGTAATAATAATCTATTTTACCTGCATATAGACCTTTTGCTATTTTTTTTATAATTCGACAATGTTTTTGCTTAATAATTAGAATAAATGCAAGACTAGTTTTGAATATAACATTAAAACTTATGATAATATTGATTGGTTTAAATTTCAATAATTTTTTTTTCATGTACGTATCACTTGCATCGTAATGCCCTTAATATTTTTTCATACTTTGATCACATTTCGCTTGGCCTTTTTTAAATCCAACATTGCATTTTTTTTTCCATCACAATATTCTTAATTTTTTTCTATAAATCTCGGCATGCTTCTTATTTTAAACATAGTTTTATTTTGAAGAACGAATGTGAGTTTAATAATATTGTGTCAGATTGCAGAATCAAGTCTGAATAATTTTTTAGGTCAAATGGCATGATTTAAATTTAGAAATAATTGTTAGGAAATTAAATACGAAAAACTTTTATCCACATTCGAATGCACATGGAAGTAATCGAAAAGAGAGTATGTGTCATTAAGTTTTTGCGTAAAAAATAATAAATTAATTCGTGATAGCCAAGTATAAACAATAGGAAATATGAAATTACATTTGCAATCATATCAGTTTATTAGTTTGTAACTGTATTGTGTTTTTAGAATATTTTAGTTATTTATCCACATTATTTCATTATTAAACTTATGCAAAATTAACGGACTAATTCAGTGGATAAAGAATTACTAGCATCAAAAAAAAAAAAAAAAGAATTATGCGACCCAAATTCGTTAATGTTTATTTATAAAAAAATATATTTATCATCTATATAATGAAAATCGACAAGTTATGTGGTAGGTCCCGTGTGCTTTTTATATATTTGAAATATTTCGTATTCTTCCACCGAAAAACGCGAAAAATTCATGTTTCTAATTGGTTTTTCATATACAATATTAACAGAATCATAAAGACAATAACATCCATCATCTTGATCGAAATTATTTCTCATAGTAAGATCAAATAAAAAACTTGGACCCTGATTAGCTTGATTCCCAATTGAATATTTGTTTGGTTTTACACGACTTAAAATAAAATTTTGAATCATACCATTTTTAAATGAAAAAATAAAGCTATCATCACAATTTGAATGGTTATTATTAGGTTTTGATTTATCCCAGCCAATCGGATTGTATCCACCGAGAATTTCATCGGTACCTTTGACCTTCATGATTACGACAATATTTTTTTTCTTATCACATAAATTCCAAAATGATTTAGCAGTATAGCCATCTCTACTTCCGCGAAGGAGCAATTTAAATTCATATGGATAATTTATTGCAGAATATGAATCAACTTTATCAACCCAAGAGGAAATTTCGGCAGCATGTTCTTCACTAATAATTGTTGAAAATTTTCTAATTACTCTATTTTGTAATTTTATAATGCGGGGTGGAAGAATCTTTGACGATATTTGTTGATTTGGTGCAATAAATCGAATTTTTACATCATTCCATAGACTTTTTTCAAGGATTCGTTTGAATGGTTTTACATTGTTAACAATGTCTTCACCAGAAATTTGAAAAAACCGAATAAGAGGCAAGCAATTTTGTAAAGTAGTCTTTAGAATTGAAAAATTTTCATCGGACCAATCTTTTAGATCAGATGGTAAATCAGGATTCTTAGCGATTCCCCATTTGATAACGTAGCACCAAATTTTTCCTTCTTCCAATTGTAAATCATCTCGCTCAAGAAGTGAAATCAATGCATTCTCTGGGAGTGAGGAAAAATTTTCCGAGTTAAAAATTTTGTTTGGATCCTTTGCCGCAAGATTGTCACACCAACTTTGTAATATTTGTAGATTATTTTGGAAACTTTTTTGATGAATAAGGGAAAGATTTAAACGAATCCAATTAGCTTTCGTTTCAATAAGAAGAGTTTCAAGATATTCGGTTAATTCTTCAAGAAGAAGCTCTCCAGCAATAAGCATGAGCTCAAAAATAGATGAAGTGTCAAGATTTTCCAATGAAATTATTCCTCCATACATATATCTTTACATAAAGTTAATTAATTAATTAAAATTATTGATTGTAGAATTTTAAGTCAAATAAAATACATATATATATATATATTCGGCTACTTACTTAATAATAATCTCAAATTGATTGGCAGGAATATGTTCTAAATTTATTGTTCTAAGGTTATTTCCATCTTTACTAGCGCTTAGCAATTTGTTTTTGAAATATAAAGATCGATTTCTCAAAACCGTCGAATGTGCGTGAAATGTTTTAGCGGATGAAGCTTTACTAACTTTAATAATTACATTAAAATCTTCATCATTAAGATATTCAAGGCAATTATTTGAAAGATTTTCAAAGAATTTTGCCGTCATTTACTGTGCAAATGAAAAATCATCAAATACTGTAATGAAAATCGGTCACACGTGTACATAAAAAAAAAAAATTCCCACAATTCCCACGTTTATATACGTAACAAATTTTCCCAATCACATGATTTTTTTTTTTAATCATGATTAAATAAAGATTTTTGCAAATTTTAAATTAGCGAATAAAAGCAAGAGTTTTAAGCTTTAAAGTTTTAATAAGCCTTAATGAGTCGTAATAAGCTATAAAAAGATTGCAATATATTGTAATATATTACGAATTAAGGTGTAATATATTATAAAAAACGCATAATAAATTATAAGATCGAACTGTAATAACATTCAAAATCTAATACGAACATTAGATTGCATTTTGTGAAGCTTTCTTTTTCGTTAAAATTCTCAACTATACTTTAATATACATTCTAAGATCTAGGGTTGGACCATAATTTACGATTTCATGGTTACAAACTTTCACGGTTCTAAAACTGCTAATTGTTCGCGAACTTTCTGTGAATAATATACTGCTTACGTAATATAACGATACGTATAGATGACTGACAATATAAAATGACATCACCATTGTTTACAAATTATTATTTAATCCATTTCCACCCCTTGTTTATCAATTCAATCTATTTTTTTTTCAACCTTTTAACAGAAAAAAAAAAATGTCTGCAAAAGCAAGTACTAAGAGACCCACTTATGAAGAAATGATTCGTGAAGCTATTATTGTTTTGAAGGATCGTAAAGGAAGTAGTCGACAAGCTATCAAGAAATACATCGCAAACACGTATAATATTGAAGATAATGTTACCTTGACTCAAAGTTTTCGTAGAGCACTTAATAAGGGTGTCGAGAAGGGGCTTTTTGAATTTTATAGCGGTCCAAAGGGTACGATCAAGCTCGTTAAAAAAGATACTGACAGGAAAAAAGTTGAAAAATCTCCAACTGTGACCAAAGCGACCAAAGCTGCTGAGCCTTCTAAGAAAACTAAGGTGAATGTTTCTAAGCCCAAGACTACTAAAAAAGCATCAGTCGCAAAGAAAACACCTGCTGAAAAAGCTAAGAAAAGAGTTTCTAAACGTGGAGCTGTTAAAAGGACTGCTGCTGCAAAAAGTTCCAAAAAGTCTACTGCTGCAAAACGTCCCAAAAGGTCTACTACTACAAGATCTAGAAGAAAATAAAGTCGTCCGAATCTCGAGGCTAAGGACAGATTTACGACAACAGCAAAATTATTGAATGATAAAATACGTTTATTTCGGTTTATCTAAATATTTTCTTTACTAAGCTATAACATGTTTGCTGTTTTAACTATTTTTTAGATCTTATGATGTTTTTAATAGCTGTTAGATTTAGATTTATCCTCGGCTATTAAATATCTTCTGTTCTTACAATGGTTTATTTTTCACAACTTTTAAATTTCTTATGATGTTATTAATAGCTGTTAGATTTGGATTTATCCTCGGCTTTTAAATATCTTTGCTTTATTTTCTGTTCTTACAATGTTTTACTTTTCACAACTTTTAAAATTTCAATATCGATCAAGATCTTATGGTGTTTTTAATAGCTACTAGATTTAGATTTATCTTCGGCTTTTAAATATATTTGCTTTATTTTCTGTTCTTACAATGTTTTATGTTTCACAACTTTTAAATCTTCAATATTGATCAAGATCTTACTGATTGTCTTAAAATTGTATCAAATTCTGTTGCATTTTTTCGCGCTATAATCAATGTTAAAAAATTTGTGATCCTTTATGAATTTTATATAAATTTAACAGAATTTTAACACAAATTACATGAAACTCGCATAATTTATAAATTTACCATATTTTCTAGTGTTCCTATTATCTGTACTTAATTGTCATATTATCTAATCCCAGCTGACTTAAGATATATATATGCCTAAATTTCATATTCTTGAAAAGAAGGCAAACATTTCGAAATTGCTATATTTTTATGTGAGTACTTACAAAATTATTATTCAACTAGATAACTGCGCACTTAAACAAAAACATGCCTATAATTCGATTTGATACATTTAAACTGTGAATGTAAACCATACAATTCATTTTTGATATATTTAAAGCTGTTAATACTAGAATAAATAAGTAGTTATATAGTCAAAAATTCAAAAGTGCCCTATGATTTAATTTCGTATCACAATGTTAATGTTGGCTGATTTTAATTTTGTGATTCTAGTGATTATCTGATGGTCCGGGCACGGGATTAATGGTGTGATCGACATTTTAATAGTGATCACGTTACTAAATTTTTGTATTTATACTAGGTGCTTCGACCCGTTGTTGAACAACTTGTAGTGTGATACAGAATCATGTGATGCTAGACGGATCGAACATTTAAATTTTTATAATATAGATAATTTCGTGCTAGGAAAATTAAGGCAATATACTAAGGTAAATTTATATGATACAGTTCTAAGATTTTACTATAATACGTATATAGAAGATTTGAATCTATATATCACCAAATTTTGATGAAAATTGGCTTAAGAGTATAAGTTTTATTAGTGGAATACCTTACATTTTTGCGATAGCATTAAAATATTCTAGATCTAGCATAAATTATTAATTTTTCATAGTAATTCGCAAATTTAGTTTCTTACTAGCACTATTAACGAGGTTTTAAAGATTTTTAGACGAAATACGAAATTTGGCAGTTTTGTTAAAACCTCGTTAATAGTTCTAGTAAAAATATAAATTTGTGATTTACTATAAGAAATTCCTCTTGACGACATATATATAATCTTAATATTTTAATGCTATCGCAAAAATGTAAGTATCTATGTAAAACCCAATTAGTAAGGGAAATCATATGATAAATAATCTACATTCACCTAGTGTAATTATTAATTAATATATGAAATCGCATAATTGACTTACTTTCATAGACATGTGAAAAAAATTGGTTGGATAAAGAAGCAAACTGGTTTGTACATTTAAGTGTAATCACCTGACTTGTCATGTTTTTTTGAATTTTATTGGCTAATAACTCAAAATTTCGCATTTTTTGCATAATTTACAATTTGTCGTATGCATAATTTGGCAATCTTCGCATCATCATCTTGAACACTTTACATTTTCCCAAATCTTAAAAAAAATTTTTTTTTAAAGGGCGTGATGTTTTGTTACACATACTGTGGCAATATTTTTTTCTAAGATGTGGAGATACTTCGCATTGCACTGTTGACATCAACAAATATTTTGCAATTTTCTATATGATTTCTGGTCTTTGGAAAAATTTTTTCTCTATGCTTGTCATTGTTGTGGAAATATGGTTAGTTGGAAGCTCCTTGTACTCTTGGACGATTCATCCTGATAATTATTAGTTAATAATATTTTTTTGATTAATAGATTGGAGAAAATAAACAACTTCAAAGAGAAATTCTTAAAAATAAATATGAATTGTTAAATTACAAAATAAGTTAACCACATTGAAAATTGGTTACAAAGCTATGCAAGTAGATAACGATTAAAAAGAACAAGAAACTATTCATTCGAAAAATGAGATTGAGACATTATCAATAGATAGCGACTTAAATCGAATGATCAGGTAAAATTTAATATTTAAAAATTATTTATAATTTTACGTGTTGTTTATAAATTGAAGAATTATCAACTGAACTTGAAGCAATAAAACAGAATGTCATCAAGTTGACTACAGAAAGAAATACTGCAATACTGCAATACAAATATCTTCAAAAAGTTTTTATGATCAGGAACGAAGTAAATGAAAAAACAACTTGAAATTCAAGACTTTATTATAGTCAACTTTATGAATTTAAAAAAAAAGAATAGAGGATTAGAATCTTTACTTTCTGGTAAATCTTCTCGGGATATTGATCACTTTTAGGTTATTGACTTGAATACTGATGAAACTGAACGAGTAGTTCTAAATATATTAATTATTTTCTTATTCGTCAACTTTTTTCAGAATATGAACAATAGCATCAAATACCCCTGCTCCAACTATAGATATCTTATCGAAAGTGACCACATTGATATTTTGTATTCATTCACGGTAAAACTTGCTTTTCTCAAACTTAATACATTCTCTTATTTATAAAATTGGTGCTTTAGTTAGCAAATAAAAAAAAATTTATATTTATATCTTAATGTTTCTTTACCGCATGGTATATAATCTGAAAGCTGATACTTGCTCATGCGCAAAAAGGAAACACGATGCTCATGCTTAAACTCCTATTCTTTTTCATCTATATAATCAATTCTCTTTTACACCACACATAATTAATGATCAATTTCTAATAATTTATATATCTATTTTTTATAATAGGATAAAGTTTGTTTTTTATGCCAATATATATTACAGCTGTTTTCATAAATTTTGGGACATCCGATGAAAAATTTACTGAATGACCAATTTGATAAGTTTTGAATCGGCAGTGATAAACTTTTGATTTGAGTGTGATTAATATATATGTTATATAATGATATACTTTTGATTTGAGTGTGATTAATATATATGTTATAGAAAGATATATGTTTTTAATACAAAGCAATAGTATTCTGAATGATATTACATTGTCAATATATCCAAAATTAAGTATTCACTTGAATTCATGATCAGTATATTTGGTGTGTTTGATTTGTACAAAATTTATTTATGGTGAAGATTGACTTTGTCAACCAATAGATCTTAACACAAAACATAGAAAAGATTCCGAATACAGTATAAGTTTTTATACATAAGTAGGCGCTAATAAAAAAAAACAAAAAGTTTGGTATGAACATGATTTATTGACTGGATTAAAATAAAATAACAAGCTAAAATTCCAAACGACAAAGCCATTATTAATATTTGTCAAAAATGTATAAAGAATTATAATTAACGAAATTAAAGTAAAATTTAGATAAAAAGTTTTATTATAAATTATAATTAGTAATGATTATTATAAAATAATAGTCCAAAAGAAAATCAATCTGATGCTCTAATTAGAGTTGCTGATGAAACTGGTGAAATTTTTGGTGAATGTTGTGAAATTTAATATAATAGACAATTAGATTTTAGTTTCACCAGCGTTACTAGCTCTCAAACCCGGGGACGCGTTCTCAATTTTTTTAGTTTTTATTTATTTTTAATTTATATTATTTAATTTATTAGTATATAAATTTTGAATTGATTT